AATTGATATATTGTGGAACTGTGTGATTTGTATGTTGAATAGTACAGTAAATGTATTTATGCACGTGTAACAAATTTGTGTATACAGGTACATGCTGATATCAATCTAACTGTATGTAAGTATGTGTGTATTTACTCGTATACGCGACCGCAAGTTTGTCTTTATGTATGGGTAATGGCTTGCAGGTTGTATGTATGTATGTATGTATGTATGTATGTATGTATGTATGTATGTATGTATGTATGGACACTAATACGCACGTGTGTACACAGTTATATAAGTACAGAACGAAGCATATCACATACACTTTTATTACACCTCATTCCACACCTACATTCCCTCATCTCACCTTCTACACTCCCTCACCTCACCCTCTCCCTCTTCCTCACTCCACACCTACACTCCCTCACCTCACCCTCTCCCTCTTCCTCACTCCACACCTACACTCCCTCACCTCACCCTCTCCCTCTTCCTCACTCCACACCTTCTACACTCCCTCACCTCACCCTCTCCCTCTTCCTCACTCCACACCTTCTACACTCCCTCACCTCACCCTCTCCCTCTTCCCTCACTTCCACACCTTCTACACTCCCCTCACCTCACCCTCTCCCTCTTCCTCACTCACACCACACTCCCTCACCTCACCCTCTCCTCTTCCTCCTCCCACACCTCCCTCACCTCACCTCTCTCTCTTCCTCATTTCACACCTACACTCCCTCTCACCCTCTCCCTCTTCCTCACTCCCACCTTCTACACTCCCTCACCTCATCTCCCTCTTCCTCCTCCCCGCCTTCTACACTCCTCACCTCTCCCTCTTCCTCCTCCACATCTTCACCTCCCTCACCTCACCTCTCCCTCTTCCTCACTCCCACAGCTACACTCCTCACCTCACCCTCTCCCTCTTCCTCACTCCACACCTTCTACCTCCCTCACCTCACCCTCTCCTCTTCCTCATTCCACACCTACACTCCCTCACCTCACCCTCCCTCTTCCCCTCCTCCACACCTTCTACTCCCTCACCTCACCCTCTCCCTCTTCCTCCTCACACCTACACTCCCTCACCTCACCCTCTCCTCTTCCTCACTCCACACCTTCTACACTCCCTCACCTCTTCCTCCCTCCACACCTACCTCCCTCACCTCACCCCACTCTCCCTCTTCCTCCTCCACACCTTCTACACTCCCTCACCTCCCCTCTCCTCACCTCACCCTCTCCCTCTTCCTCCTCCACACCTACACTCCCTCACCTCTCCCTCTTCCTCACTCCCACCTTCCTACACTCCCTCACCTCACCCCCTCCTCTTCCTCACTCCCACACAGCCTTCTACACTCCCCTCACCTCTCTCTTCTCCTCCACACACCTTCTCTCCCTCTTCCTCCTCCCACCCTTCTACACTCCCTCACCTCACCCTCTCCCTCTTCCTCACTCCACACCTTCTACACTCCCTCACCTCACCCTCTCCCTCACTCCACACCTTCTACACTCCCTCACCTCTTCCTCTTCCTCTTCCTCACTCCACACCTTCTACACTTCCTAACCTCACCCTCTCCCTTCCACTCTGCCCCAACTTCACCTCGATTCCAACATTCCCTCCCTCCGCACACTCAACCCTTCACCATAACTTTATTCCACACTAACCTCCACATACACACGGCCACTCCACCCCTCACCTCCCCACTGCCAATCCCTCTCCTCCCACTCCAGCCCTCCCACACTCACTATCTGTCGCCAGCAGGTCGCGTGTTCAACCCTCCCCTGGACACATTCTTGTCCAACCCTCCGAGATTCTCAAAGATCCCTACGTTTATTTTCTCCTCAACCTAAATAAAGATATGGCGACGTATCTAATTGCCTCAGTCTAGTTACGACACCACTTAAAGGATAAAAAATGGTGGCGAAATTGTTCCGAGACTGTAAGGTAACTAAAATCGTTCACTTTGTTCCTGACTTGACGTAGAAAGAGAAAAGAGTGTACGAATTTTTTTTTAGAATTCTGAAGGCATTCTTGTGGCCTCCCTTTATTCCTTCTAGCGCCGTGATCCCCACCAATTTAGTTGTCCACCGGAATTAATGACACTAAGGGGCACCGAGCGTTCCTAAGGGGGGGGTTAGGCGAGTTCTTAACGGTTTAGGAGGGGTAAGGGTTTGTGTTGAAGGGCAAAGAGGGAGAAATGGCTGATCCTAAGGGGTTGGAATAGAATAAGTGGTCGTCCGAAGGGGTTAAGGGGATAAGGGGAGGCTCTAAGGGGTTTAAAGAATGGAAATATGGTTTATAAGTACAGAGTGGGTATAAGGGTCGAATTTATAAGGTGGGATAAGGGTTTGGGTACAGGGATAGGAACTAAGGGATGAGGTTAAGGTGTAGTGGTATTGGGTGAGGTTAAAGCGTAGTGGTATTGGGTGAGGTTAAAGCGTAGTGGTACTGAGTGAGGTTAAAGCGTAGTGGTACTGAGTGAGGTTAAAGCGTAGTAGTATTGAGTGAGGTTAAGGCGTAGTGGTATTGGGTGAGGTTAAAGCGTAGTGGTATTGGGTGAGGTTAAAGCGTAGTGGTACTGAGTGAGGTTAAAGCGTAGTAGTATTGAGTGAGGTTAAGGCGTAGTGGTATTGGGTGAGGTTAAAGCGTAGTAGTACTGAGTGAGGTTAAGGCGTAGTGGTATTGGGTGAGGTTAAAAGTAGTAGTGAGGTGAGGTTAAGGCATAGTGGTGGGTGAGAGGTTAGAAAAGCAATAGTAGTACTGGGTGAGGTTAAGGCGTAATTGGTATTGGGTGAGGGTTAAAGCTTGTGAGTACTGGAGTGAGGGTTAAGGCTAGTGGTATTGGTTGAGGTTAAAGCGTAGTAGTACTGAGTGAGGTTAAAGGCAATAGTAGTACTGAGTGAGGTTAAGGCTAGTAGTACTGAGTGAGGTTAAGGTCAACAGTGGTATTGGGTGAGGTTAAGGTGAGTATTGAGTGAGGTTAAGGCACTCAATGGTGTGGGTTAGGTTAAAGGGTGTGAGCAGTATTGAGTGAGGGTTAGGGTGTGGCATTGGGTGAGGGTTAAGGTGTATTGGGTGAGGTTGGGCGCTGGTAGTATTGGGTGAGGTTAAGGCATGGTGGTATTGGGTGAGGGTTAAAATGTAGTAGTACTGGGTGAGGTTAAGGTCAGTGGTATTGGGTGAGGTTAAAGCTATGTAGTAGTACTGAGTGAGGTTAAGGCAGTAATTGGGTGAGGTTAAAGCCATAGTAGTACTGAGTGAGGTTAAGGCCTAGTACTGAGTGAGGTTGGGCGTAGTAGTACTGAGGTGAGGTTGGAGTGCTCTAGTGGTATTGGGTGAGGTTAAGGTGTAGTAGTATTGAGTGAGGTTAAGGTGTAGTGGCATTGGGTGAGGTTAAGGTGTAGTAATATTGGGTGAGGTTAAGGCGTAGTAGTATTGAGTGAGGTTAAGGCGTAGTGGTATTGGGTGAGGTTAAAGCGTAGTAGTACTGAGTGAGGTTAAGGTGTAGTGGTATTGGGTGAGGTTAAAGCGTAGTAGTACTGAGTGAGGTTAAGGCGTAGTGGTATTGGGTGAGGTTAAAGCGTAGTAGTACTGAGTGAGGTTAAGGCGTAGTGGTATTGGGTGAGGTTAAAGCGTAGTAGTACTGAGTGAGGTTAAGGCGTAGTGGTATTGGGTGAGGTTAAAGCGTAGTAGTACTGAGTGAGGTTAAGGCGTAGTGGTATTGGGTGAGGTTAAAGCGTAGTAGTATTGAGTGAGGTTAAGGCGTAGTGGTATTGGGTGAGGTTAAAGCGTAGTAGTACTGAGTGAGGTTAAGGCGTAGTGGTATTGGGTGAGGTTAAAGCGTAGTAGTACTGAGTGAGGTTAAGGCGTAGTGGTATTGGGTGAGGTTAAGGCGTAGTGGTATTGAGGATTAAGAAGGGGCTCTATCTCCTTCCCCCCCACCTCCTCCCCCCTCCCCCACCACCTCACCCCCCTCACCCCCCTCACCCCAACCCCGTCTTATTTCTTCCAATTTAGTTGTCTGCTGGAATTAATGGCCTCAGAGGGTAAGGGGTAAAAGGGGAGAGATACGGGGAAAGGAAGGTAGGGATCCTTCACAAGAAAACCCCCCAAAAAAACAATATTTGTGTCTTGGTAATAAATAGCTTCTGTGGTATTACGTTGGCTTCAAATTATGGAGAGAGAGAGAGAGAGAGAGAGTGTGTGTGTGTGTGTGTGTGTGTGTGTGTGTGTGTGTGTGTGTGTGTTTAGGAATTCCTCGAAATATCTTCACAAGAGAATTCCAAGTATTGTTTTCGAAGTAATGATATAATCATTGTATTAATAACAGTGAAGGGAGGAGGAGGAGGAGGAGGAGGAGTAGGAGAATGAATGGAAAGATGATAAAAAGGAGGAGAAGCAGAAGAAAGAAAAGGAGGAACTCTATTTGAAAATCTGTTCGATATTTATTCTGAATTATTCAGTGAGGAAGGCCATTGATGTGCAGATTATGCACTTAAACTCTTAAAAGGATTATTAGCTTGAACCAGTTTTTAACTTTTTTGGTAGACTGATAATTTTTGATGAGTCACTTACGAAAAACTGTTCTAACTTGTTTCTGAAAATTTCATTGGATTCCCCAGAAATGTAGATCTTACGTACAGGAATTACTGTGTTGAATAATTTGTTGGGGTTTACAGTACTGATGTAAACTTAGTATACTAATTTATTAATATAAAGTATTGATATATTGCATTCAATGCTGAGCATACGGATTTGTTTGTATACAGTACTGATGTAGGCTTAATATAGTTATATACGTATATACAAGTATATCGGTATACAATACTGTATTGATATACCGTAAGCTTAGTATAATGGTATATTAAAATACAGTGCTAATATAGGTTTAGTATACTGATATATTAAAATGTAGTACTGTTGTAGTCTTATAATACTGATATAATGTATTTGTATACTGCACTGACATAGGTTTACTCTACTGATATAGGCTTACAATACTGATATATTTGTATACTGCACTGACCTCATCCTGGCCATGACGGTCTGTAGTAGGGGCGCTGGCGCTGGCAACTGAAGGTCTCTGTGACTCACCCTCTGGTAGGTGTAGCTAACACTGCTACACGGCGGCGACATCACCACTGAGGGGAGCAAGTGGATGTTAGTGGGGAGGGTTGTAGGGTACACATTAATATTATAAAATCATTTAATCAATAAAACTGTCATCTTTAAGTCTGAGGGTTGGCGACCATGGCCCAGGACTCCAAGAGTTTTCGGTCTATCTTAACCAATTCTCTCAGTTTTTTCATCTCTCCAAGGATTCAGCCTCTGTCGTCCCCTGGCCCTCCTACCCACACTCTATACCCATTCCTATCTATACTGTCATTCCCTCATCCAAAGTATTTGAATTTTCTTATTCTGAAAACATGATACAACCCCTCTCTCTCTCGTTGCTGTAGACAACCATAGTATTTCTTCATTTGTTTTTTCTTCAGTATACTTTAGCATTCTCCTATAGCACTCAATACGAATTACACAAAGCTATATAAATATTTATTCAATAATAACAAACGTTTGGAGATAAAGGTTAAATTTTATGAAAACATATACAATAAACTGCTTCGACATGGATCTATGTATTGTAATTAATATCATAGATTAAATGTGCTAGTGCAATTGACAGGTACAGTTTTAGGCATCTGTTAGTAGGAATGTAAGGGAGAGAGAGAGAGAGAGAGGGAACAAGTTATACATAAACAGAAGGAACGTAACAGCCACAAAGGCAAAATGAGACACACAAACAGACACAAAAAATCACGGTTTCAAAGGTTTTTTCAAGAGTTGATCTTGTGTAAAACCAATCCAATTACGTGCCATGAAATTACAACACAGCACATCCCTCTCCCATTGTTTGTGTGTGTGTGTATGAGAGAGAGAGAGAGAGCGAGAGAGAGAGAGAGACTTGTCTCTCTTCCTCACACACACACACACACTCTCTCTCTCTCTCTCTCTCTCTCTCTCTCTCTCTCTCCATTTGTCTCTCTTTGTTGTGGTGTTGTGTTTATATTTTTACAGCTAGAGTTTGTCATCCTCAGGGACGGGAACTTGAGGAGGGAGAGAAGGGAGGGAAGAGATGAGAATGTAAGCAAAGTTGAAGGTAAGGTAGAAAAAAAGGAAAAATAAAATAAAATTTGTGTGAAAGAGAGGGTGAGGAGAGGAAAGAGGAAGGGGAGGGCTGGGGCAGGAAAGGGAAGGGGAAGGGAAAGGAAGAGATATGGAAAGGGAGACTAAGGGAAGGGAGAATAATGGAAAGAGGGATGAAAAGAAGGGAAGATGAGAGAAAGGGAAGGTGAGGGTATGGGTGGGTGAGAGGATGGGAGGACAAGTAGCATTTATAATATTGTTCTTGGAAGTGTGCAAAGAAAGCTAAAATATCTACTAAAACTAGTGAAGACAGCTGACATATCCACCAACACTCGTGAAGAGAGCTGATATATCCACCAACACTCTTGAAGACAGCTGGCGTAACATAAGACCATAAGAATGGAAGAAACTGCAGCGGGCCTATTGGCCCATCCTGGGCAGTCCCATTTACACCCATCCTCTATATCCATCCAACCTATGTTTGAAGCTATCCAGCGTATTTGAGTTAATGATGATGTTTGTTAACTTGTTCCACTCATCCACTACTCTATTTCCAACCCAATGTTTACCTATCTCGTGCCTAAATCTAAATTTGTCTAATTTAAAACCATTGTTACGAGTTCGCTCCTGGTTGGATAGTTTGAGTACCTTTGTTATATCACCTTTGTTTAGTTTTGACTTCCAGTTATACACCTTGATCATATCGCCCCTCACTCTACGTCTCTCGAGGGAGTGCAAATTAAGATGCTTTAACCCGTCTCTGTACTCAAGGTTCCTAATGCCCGGGATTTGTCTTGTTATTCTCCTCTGAATTCTTTCTAGGGATTCTATATCCATTCTGTAGTACGTTGACCAGAACTGAACTGCATAATCAAATCGAGGTCTCAAAAGCACAAGATATAGTTTCAGGATGACCTTGCTAGTCTTCTAACTAACACTCCTTCGTATGAACCCAATTACTTCGTTAACCTTGTTTCGAGCAAGTACACATTGTTTATTTGGTTTAATATTCCTACTTATCATTACTCCCAAATTTTTCTCACAGTCTGATTTCTCTATAACATCGTTGTTCATCTGGTATCTGATTTCTCTGTTTACATCTCCCAGCCTATGTACTTTACATTTGTCACATTAAATTTCATCTGCCACTTTTCAGACCATTCGAAAAATTAGTTTAGATCTTCCTGTAGTTATGCGGAGTCCACGTCAGATTTAATTACACCCCCTATTTTAGTGTCATCAGCAAATTTATTTATGTTGCTGTCTACGCCTATATCTATGTCGTTTATGTATATAATAAATAATAATGGTCCAAGTACTGAGCCTTGGGGTACTCTACTAGTGACGTTACTCCAATCGGATTAAGTGCCGTTAATGCTTACTGTCTGTTTCCTGTCTTGTAACCACGCCCTAATCCATTTTAAAATCTCTCCTCCAATGCCATGAGCCTTCACTTTTCTTATTAGTCTTTCGTGGGGGACTCTGTCGAAGGCTTTGCTAAAGTCGAGATATACCACATCTTAATCGTGCCTGTCGTCCAATGATTCGAAAAAAGCTGAAAATAATGTGAATAGATTAGTCAGAACACCCGCTTGTGAAACCATGTTGGGAATCATTGATCAACTTGTGCTTCTATAGGTGATTTCGAATAGAGTTTGAAATTATTGCTTCCAGTACATTAGCTATCCTCCAGGATTTTGGTACTACACTTGTTTTTAATGACATGTTAAACAAATTTGCGAAGGGCATACTAAGCTCTTCCTTACATTCCTTTAATACTCTGGTAAATATCTCATGGGGACCTGGTGACTTATTAGGCTTTAGCTTGTCTATTTGCTTACTAACATCGTGACTAGTCACTACTATCTTGCTTAATCTATTTTCTTCGTTGTCTTTCCTACACCGGCCAATATCATTGCCTCCTGCACTGTGGCAGATAATAGGTTTGTTCCTATTACCAGATAATATATTGTCCATCCTGTCAACTATATCCCACCCCAGCTCCTGGCAAACACACCCTCATCCTATTTTTAGTTTTATCACAGAAAGCTCGATCCAGGTACCGTACCTGGGAATCACCCAACAATTAAGGTTTTCGTACCTTCCTTGTCAGCCCTGTCCCTGACTATGCTAACGTCCAATACGTCTATCAAAAGAGTAAAATAGTTTTTACACTTAGCTGTTGTCGTTTACTTGGTGTCTTTTCTCACCACCAGTTTGATCATTCCTCTCCTCACAACCCTCCATTCGCCTGTCTTCGTTACACCCGCTTTCCTCGCAATCTCTTCCTTTAATTTCAAGTTTTCGTCCTTAACTTTCACTAACTCGGCCCTCAGAAGGGCACAACCCTGCTCACAAGTAGCACTAGCCATTACTGACAATTAATCCCCGGAGCAAAGTCAACTGACATATCCACCAACACTTGTGGAGACAGCTGATATATTCACCAACACCCGTGAAGACAGCTGACATCAGCCAACACTCGTGAAGACAGTTAATATATCCACCAACACTCGTGAAGACAACTGATATATCCGCCTACACTCATGAAAACAACTGACATATCCGCTTATACTCGTAAAGACAGCTGGCATTTCCGCCTACACTCGTGAAGACAGTTAATATATCCTCCAACACTCGTGAAGACAACTGACATATATACCAACACTTGTGAAGACAACTGATATATCCACTAGCACTCGTGAAGACTACTGACATATCCACCAACTCTTGTGAAGACAACTGATATATCCACCAACACTCGTGAAGACAACTAACATATCCACCAACACTCGTGAAGACTACTGACATATCCACCAACTCTTGTGAAGACAACTGATATATCCACTAGCACTCGTGAAGACAACTAACATATCCACCAACACTCGTGAAGACTACTGACATATCCACCAACTCTTGTGAAGACAACTGATATATCCACTAGCACTCGTGAAGACAACTGATATATCCACCAACACTCGTGAAGACTACTGACATATCCACCAACTCTTGTGAAGACAACTGATATATCCACTAGCACTCGTGAAGACAACTGATATATCCACCAACACTCGTGAAGACTACTGACATATCCACTAGCACTCGTGAAGACAACTGATATATCCACTAGCACTCGTGAAGACAACTGACATATCCACCAACACTCGTGAAGACAACTGATATATCCACTAGCACTCGTGAAGACAACTAACATATCCACCAACTCTTGTGAAGACAACTGATATATCCACTAGCACTCGTGAAGACAACTGATATATCCACCAACTCTTGTGAAGACAACTGATATATCCACTAGCACTCGTGAAGACAACTAACATATCCACCAACTCTTGTGAAGACGACTGATATATACACAAACACTTGTGAAGACAGCTGACATATCCACCTACACTCGTGAAGACAGCTGACATATTCATCAACACTCTTGAAGGCAGCTGATATAGCCACCACTTACTGTATATTCCACTAATAACAGAAGCTAACATACAACACCAGTGAAAAAACACACACACACACACACACACACACACACACACACTACTACTACTACAACTTTGCTGTCACTCGGAATCGAGTATGATGATTATTCAGCTTTGATACAATGATATGAGTTATTAGGGATGTCACCTAGGTTAGTGAGTTTTGAGGTGACTAAAGAGGCCGATACGGGACCCGCAGCGTCGTTCACATTCGTTGCACATGTGGAGGGTTCCATCTACTGTGGGAAGTGGCAGCGTCTTTCCGACATTGGCGCTTGTCTGCCTCGTTTTGAAGTCGGGCTAACTCGAAAGTATTGACACCTTCTCGTGTGGTGCTTCTCCAAGCGTTACGATGTGGAGTAATCGACTCCCAGGTGAGGAGGTCGATTTGGCACCTTTTTATGTTTGTCTTAAGACTATCCTTATACCTTTTCAATTGCCCGCCGGCGTTAAGTTTACTATTCGTTAAGTGACTGTAAAGTAGCTGCTTTGGCAGT